AGTGAGGCCCCCCCGACCAGCGGCGACCGCGCGGGCCGACCGAGGTCGCCACCGCCGCCGTCGCCGCCGCCGCCGTCGCCGTCGCCTTCGTCGTTGTCGTCGTCGTCGTCTTCGTCGTCGTCGACGTCGTCGAGGTTCGGGGCGAGATTTTTATCCGTAAGGGCTTCGCCCCCTGCCGCCGGCCCCCTCTCTATCATAATGGGATACATCATAGCTATATTGGGATGTTCGGACGCCGTCTTGATGACATTCGGGAACGTCATGCGAGGGCGGCTGGCGATGAGCAAAGCAGATTGAGATGTTGAAGTTGTTGTTAAACGCTTTGTTGTCTTCTTGGCATTTTCCTCCAGTTGTTCACTGGAAGCGCTCTGGGAACGGCTTGGGATTGCTTCAGGCAGTCTCTGGAAAGGTTATTTCCCCACATGCTTCGTGGGGTTCTGGTTTTCTTCCCTGCCGCGTCGCACCCGCGTCTCAACTCACACCTCCCCTCCTCCTCACAGCACTGCTCAGCACAGCTTGGTCTCTCACCGCGGCGTCTATGCGTGCCAGGGTCGGAGAGCGTGGCAGGCGTGGCACTTTCTCGACACCAGGGGGGGTGCGTAGGGGGTGGTCTCTCACCGCGGCCCCTATGCGTGCCAGGGTCGGAGAGCGTGGCAGGCGTGGCACCTTCTCGACACCAGAGAGGGTGCGCAGGGGGTGGTCTCTCACCGCGGCGTCTATGCGTGCCAGGGTCGGAGAGCGTGGCAGGCGTGGCACTTTCTCGACACCAGGGGGGGTGCGCAGGGGGTGGTCTCTCACCGCAGCGTCTATGCGTGCCAGGGTCGGAAAGCGTGGCAGGCGTGGCACTTTCTCGACACCAGAGAGGGTGCGCAGGGGGTGGTCTCTCACCGCGGCGTCTATGCGTGCCAGGGTCGGAGAGCGTGGCAGGCGTGGCACTTTCTCGACACCAGGGGGGGTGCGCAGGGGGTGGTCTCTCACCGCGGCGTCTATGCGCGTGCGTGGCAGTGGTCTCGTCACCTCGTGTGGTGGTCGACACCAGAGCGTGGCAGGGTTCTCGACAGCAGGGTGCGTAGGGGGTGGTCTCTCACCGCGGCGTCTATGCGTGCCAGGGTCGGAGAGCGTGGCAGGCGTGGCACTTTCTCGACAGCAGGGGGGGTGCGCAGGGGGTGGTCTCTCACCGCGGCCCCTATGCGTGCCAGGGTCGGAGAGCGTGGCAGGCGTGGCACTTTCTCGACACCAGAGAGGGTGCGCAGGGGGTGGTCTCTCACCGCGGCGTCTATGCGTGCCAGGGTCGGAGAGCGTGGCAGGCGTGGCACTTTCTCGACACCAGGGGGGTGCGCAGGGGGTGGTCTCTCACCGCGGCGTCTATGCGTGCCAGGGTCGGAGAGCGTGGCAGGCGTGGCACTTTCTCGACACCAGAGAGGGTGCGCAGGGGGTGGTCTCTCACCGCGGCGTCTATGCGTGCCAGGGTCGGAGAGCGTGGCAGGCGTGGCACTTTCTCGACACCAGGGGGGGTGCGCAGGGGGTGGTCTCTCACCGCGGCGTCTATGCGTGCCAGGGTCGGAGAGCGTGGCAGGCGTGGCACTTTCTCGACACCAGCGGGTGCGCAGGGGGTGGTCTCTCACCGCGGCGTCTATGCGTGCCAGGGTCGGAGAGCGTGGCAGGCGTGGCACTTTCTCGACACCAGAGAGGGTGCGCAGGGGGTGGTCTCTCACCGCGGCGTCTATGCGTGCCAGGGTCGGAGAGCGTGGCAGGCGTGGCACTTTCTCGACACCAGGGGGGGTGCGCAGGGGTGGTCTCTCACCGCGGCGTCTATGCGTGCCAGGGTGAGCGTGGCAGGCGTGGCACTTTCTCGACACCAGGGGGGTGCGCAGGGGGTGGTCTCTCACCGCGGCGTCTATGCGTGCCAGGGTCGGAGAGCGTGGCAGGCGTGGCACTTTCTCGACACCAGGGGGGTGCGCAGGGGGTGGTCTCTCACCGCGGCGTCTATGCGTGCCAGGGTCGGAGAGCGTGGCAGGCGTGGCACTTTCTCGACACCAGAGAGGGTGCGCAGGGGGTGGTCTCTCACCGCGGCGTCTATGCGTGCCAGGGTCGGAGAGCGTGGCAGGCGTGGCACTTTCTCGACACCAGAGAGGGTGCGCAGGGGGTGGTCTCTCACAGCGGCGTCTATGCATGCCAGGGTCGGAAAGCGTGACAGGCGTGGCACTTTCTCGACACCACGGGGGGGTGCGTAGGGGGTGGTCTCTCACCGCGGCCCCTATGCGTGTCAGGGTCGGAGAGTGTGGCAGGCGTGGCATTTTCTCGACACCAGAGGGGGTGCGCAGGGGGTCTCCCTATGCGTGCCAGGGTCGTCCAGGCATTGCAGGCGTGGCATTTTCTCAACACCAGAGGGGGTGCGCAGGGGGTGGTCTCCCTATGCGTGCCAGGGTCGTCCAGGCATAGCCTCTAGTGCGGGATTGCGTATTACCTCTTGTATCCAAGTGCCAGGCGACGCCGGATATGACCGTCGCAGATGACTCCTCAACCCCTCCTCTCCCCCCACACGTCCTCCCCCTCCTTTCAACGACCACGGGGCACCTGAGAGCATGACGGCGGTGGTAGTGGTAGCGCGGTTCACACAAGACATAAAATCAGTATGTGGGGTTCCTCGGTAGGGTATTTTTTTTTGCTCTGGAGAAGGAGTGGCGCCTTTGGGCAGCTTCCGCGAGGTGGATTCGCAGCGTGGGGGGTGCGCGCGCGAATTTGGTGTAATTTGCGGGGGATCGTGGTCTCGGGGACGCGAATGTGGCGTAATTTACAAGGGATCGTACCCACCTCGGCCCACCAAGCACCCACCAGCGGTGCCACCAGCGAGCGCTACAGATCACACGCTGGTGTGGGTGAAGTCGAGGAATGAGGTCCGATGTCGATCGTGTAACATGTATGCGAGGACGGTTCGGACGTATGAGAATATGTTTGCCACTCGCGCCAATGGGTGCGAGCCGTCTCAGTATCAACGTTTGAGTGCGGAGAGAGCTTTCAGCCAGCTTTCGGCTGGCGACGTGGTGCCCATGGAGCGCTCGTCTTTGCTCGCCCTGCAGGCCGTGGTTATGCCAGACGACGGCCCGATTGTGGCTGTGCCACCTCCGCCTCCTCCCCCTCCTCCTCCTCCTCCTCCTCCTCCTCCTTCTCCTCCCCCTGCCACCGCCACGGATATCGACGCGCTGTTCAGGTCCCCTGGCCACGACTGCGCGAGGCGTGGGGACGCTTTCTGTTGTCGTATCGAGGAGGGTCGAGGAGGATCGAGGAGGATCGAGGAGGGTCGAGGAGGATCGAGGAGGATCGAGGAGGATCGAGGATCGAGGATGATCGAGGATCGAGGAGTCGAGGAGGGTCGAGGAGCATCGAGGATCGAGGAGGAGGGGAGGCGGGGGGGAATGCGAAAAACTTGCGGGCCACGTGTAAGGGCGTGCCCAAAAGTAAAAGCAGTCGGCTGGGAGCGGACATGAGGGTGCCACGCGCGCTCGCAGGCCGCCACCCAGTATCCAACGCGCCTCTCTAATATGAGTTGTGTTTTTCTCCGCGCTTCGCGCGTCTGCCTCACTTAACTGAGAAACCTTTTCCTGTCTGAGGTGAGTGTCACCCTGACAGGGCTGTTGTCTCTGCTGCGTGGTTGGTTCAGCCGCGCATGCAATGGGATAAAAACAAAGGGGCGCGAATGTGGTGCAATTCGCGCGTGATCGTGGCTTCGGGGGCGCAAATGTGGCGGTACTTATGAGGGATCGTGGCCTGGGGGGTTGAATGAGGAACCCACCGCCGAATTATCCAGTCACGGGGGGGGGGCAAAATAATACCAGCGGAGCACATGTCCCAAGACAGAAAATTGCCGTTTTTATCTAACAGCCTTTGCTGATAGGTTTCTTGTGGGCTCAGAAGAGGCATCATGACTCCTCAGAGGGGGTCGGGGCAGGACCTGGACAGGAACCGGGAAGGCATCCAGCGGCACCCAAATCGCTTGGGACATCCTCGCAAAATCGCCCGGGGAGGCATCCGGCGCCTCCCAGAAGTCCATTCCCGGGCCACATTTTGGATGCCCGGAGCCAACTGTAGGCCACTTCGTGGTCTTCGAGTTCCCAGAACTCCATTCCTGGGCCACATTTTGGATGCCCGGAGCCAACTGTAGGCCACTTCGTCTACTTCGAGTTCCCAGAACTCCATTCCCGGGCCACATTTTGCTGACTGGATGTCCCTGTCAGATCTCTCGCCACCCGATTGCCGTGTTGTTCTGTTCGTCATCGTGCAGGGCACCACGGCGGACCCAGGTTTCATCGTGCACTGGACGTTTCCGCCATAATCTAATATTTGTAGTAGCAGTAGTAGGAGGAGCAGGAGGAGCAGGAGGAGCAGGAGGAGCAGGACGAGGGAGGCTCCTTACTCCTTCCTCCCTCCCCTTTCTCCCTGCAGGCCGAGGCTGAAGGCAGACTGAGGCTGATCGCAGTGTCTCGCTTGTGGCTACATCCATTGATAGCAGTGTCTCGTTTGGGGCTACATCCATTGATAGCAGTGTCTCGTTTGCACCAAACAGCGATTGATAGCAGCGTCTCGTTTGGAGATACAGTTGTCGAAAACAGTGAGTCGTGAGTCGATCGAAGCCTCGCACCCTCTTTCTGTCAACCCCCTTGTCCCCCTGCATCTGCTCGCCGTCTTTGGCTCAGACCGTGCCTACCACATTGCCGTGGCCTTCGCCAGAACGTGCCTTGCCTGCGTTCTCCACATTGCAATGTATGCTCCCAACTTCGCCGCACCTTTCGTGCCTTCGCAAGCCTCTGGTTCTCGCGGTGCTCCTCAGCCTGCGACGGAAGACGGAGGCGCGTCTGGGGCCGCGGCCTCTGGTTCTCGCGGTGCTCTTCAGCCTGCGACGGAAGACGGAGGCGCGTCTGGGGCCGCGCCTGGGCCCCCTCGAGGTCTTCAGCTAGCGTCTTTTACGGTCGCCTCCTTCAACTTCGGGTTCGAGCAGGACA